GAACTGCAAGGCACCGGGGGGAAGACAAAAAGAGAGCGAAAAGAATTGCGCTCCAGTCAAAAATTTACGGGGTAATTCGCCGGTCGGTTTTTATGGACATTTGAATGCATTATGCGAGAAGAAGGAGTTGGAAGCGAGGGAGGGAAACTCGTGGGCTGTGGAAATGAAGAAGCGGGAGAAAACTCGCAGAATTGCGATAAAAACGGATCCGGGGAGCGGAATGAGGAGGATTAAACTGGTGTTTTGACATAATCACCGGCTCCTATGATAGAATGGAGTTTGCGAAATTGGATTCGAGGAATTTCTTGGCATATAAAATTAGATTATGGTATTTGGAAAAACAATTTACGTACTTTGAGGTGAATTTATATTGCAATAGAGGACAAATAAAAAAATTTGGAGAAATGCTATTTTAGTATAGAAACTACAACGATTTTGGTAAAATAAATGTTGTAAAACACTAGCTAGATGGATAGCTCTTCTGCAAAGACGGTAATGCCCTCTAAATTTTAGAATAGTCATCAAAAAGTGCATTCCGCCGAAATCGGGTCGAAATTAAAAAGTCTTAACTCCAAGTCCCAGCGGAACCCCAATAAAATGTAACAGCATCTAATTGACGTATAAAAAGTGTCCAGACGTCTTTGCCCGGACCCACAGACAAATCCCGTTTTTTTATGGGCCAAAAGGTTCATTTTGAAGTTCGGAAAAAATTTTTTTTTGGAAGAACCAATTCGGTTGATAAAAGGGAATTAATGAATAGGTAATGGGCATAAAAGTTCAAAAGGTATGCCGAAAGCTATTTAAATACAGTTTTTAGTTCAAAAAAATTAAGTTCTTTATGAAATTCGAAATTTTTGATATAAAGACTTTCAGTTGACTCATTTTCACAAGTAACCGGCGTCAATGAGCGATTACAAAACACTGGAAAGGCCGTTAAAAAGCCGCTTACAACAGGCGGATTGCGCAATCACAAAGACGGATTCATTCGGTTTTTTGACCCGAATGACGCAACCTTAATGTAAACAGGCGCAGGAAAAAGTTTTGGTACGACCACAACGGGATCTTTTTTGGACTGGGAAAGAGTAAATACGCGATGATGTTTATAGGACAGATGGTCCGGCCAGGAGATGAAAATGCATGTAGGAAGTCAAGGGAAGCGGGGAAGCCAATAGCGAGAAATATTAGAAAAAAAATTGAAATTTTGAAGCAATAATTGACGAATCTTAGTAAATCCTTTCGTAGAATTTGTCTACGTTGCATAAACTTGCTGTATAAAAGATTACAAAGGCCTCAGATGCTGATTTTGGGTAGAAATGACGCACTGAACATCATAGCCTTCTGAGATCAGCAATTTTTTTATTCTATTTCTATTTGTTACACAGAGGCACAGATAACTTAGTCGTGGGCGCGTTAGATTCACTGAGGTAAGTAAAAAGAAACCAGCGGCGCAATTCAAAATTTGAGGGCTGTTTAAAAACACTACAGAACTGTTGGCATTAAGGCTGGCCTATATCAGAAATAATTGGCCATAAAGCCATAATTAATAGCTAAAGGGGCCAACAATTACAAGTGGAGTCCATACAGTTTTAAAATTACTTTAGAAATCAACAAAGTTGTTCTAAAAGATCCCCAAATTACATTGTAGTTGTCATCAAGCGTCGAGAATCCCACAAAATTTCCAAAAACATCCTCTCTTGACCTTCCCTCCAACCAAACTCAAATACCCATTCTAAACTCCTAATTCATCTCTATCCCCCTTCCTTTCATCCACTCCACAACGGAAGCTCATTTAAAGAAAGGGGGATTTTTTTCGGAATTCAAGAATTTCTCATTTGGATGGCTCGCCCTCAACTTGTCTATTATTCCCCAGCGGTCATCTTCCGCGAGAAAAATAAGCATTAAGAGAAAGACATTTTTCCGAGGACCACTCATCCGGCGAGGTTCTCCCCCCTTTCGCCCCTCAAACGCAGATGATCGTGTGTTTGCGGGGCGAGAGAAGGGTGGGGTAAAAAAAAGTTTCGATTTTATCGGTTTTGATTCGCATCCGAAAATATGTGGGAGTTCGAGCAGAAGAGATTGGGAATGAGTGGGTTCAGGTAATTGGATCGTAATCGATATGTATCAGATAAGTCGAAGAGAGATGTAAAAACAAGCAATGAAAAATCGTTTATCTTGGGTTGAAATTGAACGCAAAGTTTTAAGCACAAACAATCAGTTATGAAAAGGCCAAAAATTCAAGTTTTTCAACATACCATAAGCTTTTGTTCAAATTTTGCCAACATAGCCTATCTAGGCTGTAAATTGGCTCCTTAAAAAATCAGCTCCTGCCTTGGAGGCATAAAAAAGATTTTCAACGACAAACAACATTTTTCAAGACGATGGAAGATGATGAGAGACGGTGAGACAAAAATTTTTTTGCAACAAAACTCTTAGCCCCTCAATTCGTGGCATAAAATCAACCAAACCTCATCCAATGATGACTCTCTTAAATGTCATATCGTATGTCCCGACAAAGCCAGAATAAATCACTCCGATTTGAGCACTCATCCCTTGCCGTATCCCAACGACTTGCCTCTCCGACGACCCCCCTCTTGAATTTGGTCCCCTTCTCTTTCCATCGGCGGGGGGTGAAATATTAGATTAATTGCGCTGCAAAAAAAGCAACATAAACGCATTTACGGTGATCGCCGGACAGATGGGCGCTCCTCTCTTGCGAATCGTCTTGTCGCGCGTTTCGTTTTGGCTCAAATTTCCCGCGCCCTGCCCTCCCGTTTCTAACCCATTTCGAAGCGGAGGGCACGGGGTTTCGGATACGCTGAAACAAAACAAACGGGATTCGTTGGCCTCGTTAGATTTGACAGGAGAGGGCCATCGAATTCGGGCCGAAATGGACAAAGTCCGAAACGAAAATGAATTGGAATAGCGGGAAGGCTTATGGAATAAAAAATGCAGATGAACTGGAAGCGGGAGGATGAGTAACTCATGCTGAGTTCGAAAGCAACGTTAGCGAATAAAATTGGATTTTAAATTTTTACAAATGGCAGTCTATGGCAGAAAAAGTATTAATACGAATTGTCGTCCCGTCTAGACCACCGAAAATAAAATTTTGACTGTTTAGGAGTTATTGCTCCCTAGTGGGCAATCAAAAGGCTTGACTTATGATTTAGAGTTCGTTGGAGTCGACAAAAATGTCTACTACGGCACGAGTTGGGAGAGGACATACTTATGTCAGCATAACATGGGAGACACTTATTTTTATGAGGCCACTTGGCCTTTTCCGGTTGATGAAACCGTAAAAGAAAACATCAACGCGTACCTTCAATTGTTAGACAAAAGGGTTGTTTTCCAGAAGATACGAGGCTGTTTGTATGCCGTTCTCTTTTGGGATCAAGAAGTATATAACAAATAGGCAATGTGCTTGATTGCAATAACATTGCAGCTTTGTGGTATGATTTCCAAAGCCAGTATCGCTTCGTAGCATTTATCGATCATTTTCCTAACAGGAACTGCTTTAAAATTTCAGTGTTAGAAGCTTCGTCGCTTTTTTGTCAATTAATTATCTATTCATTTCATTGCTAGTACGGTCGTAAAGCCGGGAGAGTGATTTCTGCGCATTGCACTGTGGGAAAACAAAAGTTTACTTCGACCCTCCAACTTATTCCATTGACTGCATACTCAGGTAATTAAATCTCGGTTTAATTGCCCCCAACCCTCGATCTTGTCCTTGCATCTCCTCTCAAGTAATCTGCAGACGCCCCCTCCCGCAAACCACTTCAAGCGCATGCCCAATTAACCCCGAAACGCACCCCACAACGCACCCGATTCCGCCTCGTCTCGGGGAACGGAAGAGGCTCGAACTTACTTCTCGCCCCTCCTCAGCTATCTTCCCCCTTGCGCTCGCTGCAACGTTGTCTTGTCGCACCTCCAAAAAGCAAAAGAGCGCGCGCAACCGGTCGTTGTCGGACGGGTCACATCCGCGCAATCACTTTTTTTTTCCTCTTCAGCGCTAAAACAGAGTGGAATGGGTGCGCCAGACGGTCAGTGTTTATTGACGACGAAAGAAGCGGGCGGCTGAAACAATACCATCCGCCTATTCATAGATATATATTGTACTGGAGAGAAGCGAAAAGGGAAAGTGACAAGTCAAGAGCCGTAAATAAAGAATTTCCAGATGGAGAAGACATAAAATAAAAGTCTGCCGCAATTCATAATCGTATTCAAATTAAAAAATGTTTTGGTCTTGGGTCAAAATAATCCGTCCTGTAATAAACTTGGCTAAAAATAGAAATTAGTTGCCATCATGATGAATTACATTTATTTCGTATGGTATTCAACCTTACCGAAGCAGAAAATTCATGAAGATTATGTTATTGTAACGTCGAATTGTTACAGGGGAAGTGCTCGAAGTGCGACGCATAGATTTGCATAGCCAGGGCGTATGTTTGGAGCCCTTCCCTTATAAGCCTCCAAGAATGGCTTCTGTCTAATACCGGATTCATTTCCAACTCATCCTTATCTTCTCTTTATATATTTGTCTGAGAATGTAGGTGTTTACTGCATTCCTAAGAACACACTTTACAGTCTTCGCCCGACAATAAGTTTAAGGGATTCTTGGCGTCCGAAACGGACGTCAAATTTTATTGTTTTCGAAGGATGATTGAAAGCTTGATGACCTTCAAAGGTCGTCGATCGAACAACCCGTTGAAACGGACGATTGATGTGGCTGGATTGTTCTGGCACGGAGATTGCAAAAACTGTAGCGATTGGTTTCATACAGTAAAGATATCTGAATAAGGATTTAAGTCAAATATTAGACAAAAAATAGAAAGGAGACTTTGACGCTCCTCATCAAAATTTTTGTATTCCAATAATAACCGGCCTAATAAGCCATCAAAAATATACATGCAAATGTAATTGCTATTGCCTGTTCTTCTCAAAATTATGAAATGAAAATATTGTCTTGAAATTTTTCTTTTGGATCCGCTTGGAATTTCCAAAACATGGCCGACATTTTGCAGCTTCTATTACTGGCATGTGTATCCGTCGTATTTGGATACGTAAGATAAAAGATTTTCTTTAGAATATGTTGTTTCACAATTCTAGGTTGATGAAAGATTTTGGGAGATGATTCGCGACGGGCAACGGTTGAGGCAAAAATTTCCGTTGGCCACGTTCAAAGACCAGCCAATAGTTCAAGGCAAAATTGCGGAGTACTACCCGGCGATGTTGTAAGTAGCCGAGAACATACCATTACGTTTGGAGATAAATATTCCAACAAGTACTTGAAAAATCTTGAATAACCTTTAGCAAAGAAAAAACAGTCATGGAATGCGCAGAGCCGGTCAGACGAAAAACATTTTTTTCTCATTTCCTTGTTGTTTCTGCACAGAAAATTTAGATTTTTTGTAGAAAATATATCAGACAGTTTTTCAGCTTCACGGATGACGCGACAGGCGCCAAATCCGTTAATTTCGGCTACGCTTATAACTACACTCGCGGTTACAGCGGAGTGTTCAACGTTAATGGGACTACGGTAATCCGAGGAAACGATTATCCCTATAGAATTCTGGTCAATTACCCAAGAAATCCGTAAGAATTTTTGTCATTAGAATTATGTTATGCTAGACCTTTTAAAATAACTGTTGTTATATATCATTACTATAAAAAATGCTTTTAGATTTTACTTGATCAACCCAAGAGATTTGCATCGGGATGAAGAGCGAGTGGAATACAATAACTTTTCATTGGTTTTGGTCAAAATCCCAGGGCAAGAGACCTCTCTATTCGGCGGATGGAAAGATGATGGACCATATTCATACATACTCACAGTGGATCCACTAAATTTTCAGCCTGTTAGACTAGAAGGATCAAATGTCATCACTGATAATCCAACCTGGTCGGTGGTGAAGCAAAAGAAATCTGCGTAAAGCCATCATTTACTAATAAAAACTATCTTTGTTTTCTTGTTAGAATATTCCAAAAACATGTTTTTGTAACACTTGACGATCTATGTCATTAGTCATAGCCTCAATTTCAAAGGCGTCACTAAATGCCACGCCATAAACAAAATTCAAAAAAAAATAATTCAAAAATCTGATTCACTATGCGAAATAAATGTTCACACTGCTTTAAATACTCATCATATGTTGTGAAGATTTTATATTCAAAATGAATAATCTCTTACTTGGTTGTTTGTGTTTGACCGCACTGAATGTTCATGGTTTTGATATCACTGAAGAGTATTTTGGCACTGTTCACGATGGAGTGCTGACAAATACCAATTACCAGCCTGCTGAGTTTGACAGACATCCACAGAGAAATGGAGAAAAGATCATTGGATTCCCGGCCTTTTAGTAAGTGCATTCAACAACGTTAACATTGTTTTCAGCGATGAGCCAGACTACAGCTATTTCGGCCAAGCCTTCCCGGAGCAGGGAAAATGGTGTGGAATTTTCAATGTAAAGAACGGGCCATACGAAACTTGCGATGGTTTCCGCGTTCTTGTAAACGTCCCCGGGAATGAGTAAGAATTTTCGTCGCAACCTTCTCAATTTTTGAATAATTTGTTAATTTTTTAGGTTCAACCTCCGAAATCCCGATAACATGAAGCCAGATGATGAAAAGGTGTACTTCAGAGGAGTGGCTTTGGTACTTGTCAGAGATCCTAACGCTAGCGGTGATACGATTTTCGGAACCTATGTGGAAGAACCACAAGTACTGCAGTACGTTGCTTATAACGGTCAGGCCGAACAATATTCCGGGGATGATGCTTCAACTGGGGACCGGATTCTTCTGGTTGTAAAATCGGTGACGGCGAAATAAATATTGTGATATCAATAAATACCGGGACGAGTATAAAAAACCTATGACCAACAACGATTTAGTAGTTTATAATTTGAAAAGGGTCGATGGAGACTTTTGTAGGTCTCAAGGGCACCACAAAGTACAGTACACCCTGTTAACCAAAAATTAAGCTGATTTAAATTCCAAAAAATTGTTGCTTTTTGAAGTGCCACAATATTACCACTTAACAATTCGAACAACTAGAGGCGTATAACGATGATAAAGGATTGTCATCTGGTGATTCACTCAAATTTCAAAAATTCGAAAAAAAATCTCGTATCTTCTTTGGTGCTGAATGTTGGAATCATCAAGGATTCAATCATCCTTTTGAAGGGAATTATCAAACGGAAAGTGAGAAATGACAATGTGACTCACATGGCATATCCACTAAAGTGATATAAATATATTTGAAATCGACAGTTATTTTATTTTTATCAAACAGCCCACAGATGAGGACTCTCTGTGTTTTATTGTCCATTGGAGTTGGTGTTCTTGCAAAGGTAAGCGGAATTCTAGAGAAATCCAGTCTGTGAATTGAAAATAACAATGCCGTTGAATAGATATTTCCTCGGCAATGAAATTTATTGCTTTCCAGATAACAGAGGAAACCTTCGGAACCGTCCATGATGGGAAGCTAATGTTCACGAACTACGAACCGGTACAATTTGCGCGGCAACCTCAGTCCGGCGGACAACGTATCAGAAATTTCCCTGCTTACCTGTGAGTTGAGAAAAATGGCTATGCATTATAACACCCTACTTTAGCGACGATGATGGGTATTCTTACTTTGGGCAGGCTTACCAACGAGAAGACCTGGCCTTTTGCGCCGTTTTCAACGTCCGCCAAAAGATTGTCAAGACTTGTGACCGTTTCAGAATTTTGGTAAATATCCCTGGGAACGAGTAAGCGTGACAAAATTTCGATTCCTGTTGCAGATACAACCTTCGCCGTTACGAAAACCTCAAAGAATCAGACGAGAAAATGACCATTGGCGATGCCACTCTTGTTCTTGCCAAGGATATTGAACGTGAAGGAGATACTGTCTTCGGAACTCTCTTCCAAAGGAATTCAGGACCACCTGTAGTGCAGTACATTGATTACAACTTCGATGCCAAAGAACTAGTATTGGAAGGCGGGGAGTCTTCAAAATACGTCCTGTTTGTGGTCAAGAGCAAATTGGAATCAGAATAAATGTCGAGACGAATATAAAACCTTATTTTTTTAAATCAAAAACGGAATAAACATAAAGGACATTTTCGTCCGATTAAATTCTGCTCATAGAATGCTAGAATCATTTCTACTCGATAACCCTACAATGTGATAACAGAGAAAAAAAAACAATGGAAAAAATACCGAACTCCTTTCGTATGTCTCTGAAATGTATGCGCGGTAACTACGGTATTGTGAAAGCAATGAGACCGTCTGAGAGTTCAGGCAACTTTTGGCATAATGCACCAAGTAAAATTTTTGCAGTTTTGCGCAATATTGCAATACACATTGACCGGACATTCGCAAAGCCTAGCGAATATTATTGTAGCTTTATCAACTGCATTTCTCCACGTATATATTCTTCCAGACGATGAAAATAAAATTTTTGCCGTGCTTTTATCGAAAGGACACCATGAGGGAAAGCAGACCTATATTTCCCATCCAAGAAAATACAGCCATCTCGTATCCAGGTCAGTGTGAACAGTCGGTAAGTATTTTATTTTTTATGTTTGAAATTTAGGTATATTTGGGATTTGTTTGGAGAAACTCGAGGTTTGGCCTCATGGATAATATAAAATTTCCCTCGGAATCAAGGGGAACCATCTTTTTGCTGGATGTTTAACACATTAGATTGATTTCAGGACTTTCTAAAAGCCGTTACAGCCGCTTCGGAAGGAGATGTTACAATTTTGGACGAGATGATCAAGCTCCACGGAAGGAACATGGTAAATTGGAAATCAAATGATAATCAGTCTCTCTTGCACTATGCCGTCCGACATGAGCGATTAAATGTCGTCAAGTTCTTGGTTGAGTAAGTTTTTGCAGCAAGTTTTCCAGAAATTATGTTATCCTTGGTTGATCAGATGCAAATTCTTCTTGTGTAGACGGTATAATTATTTGATATTTTCAGGAACCGAGCTGAGATCAACGTGTATGACTCCATGCTAAACACAGTTTTCCATTATGGGGCCAGATTTCAGTCGCCACAATGTATGAAATATTTGTTGAAACTTTTGAAGGGTCTGGCCAGAAATAAATTGGGAGATATGAAGTTGGAGAAGGGCAATTTGGAGATTGGTGAGTGCTTTGTGTTGTGTTTTGTTTTTAGATTTCAACAAAGGATTTCATCGGTCTGAAATCACGCACTTTTGATGTTATACTTGACCCATCTGAAGAAACCAAGTTATTTTCCTTTGATTTCAGCAAAGCGTTTATTGGACGACCCCGCAATAGATGGAAGGACACCTCTGCATTATTCCGCGATGCATAGGGACGCTGAAATTGCCGGGGTACGTTTTGATTTGCGTCATTTTCGATGAACGTCTGAGCTCATGCGCAATACATTCTTCTCACTTTTTTTAGATGATTCTCCGAGCTCTTTATGTCCTATTCGATCCGGAAGACTTTATCAAAGCTGCCACGCGTCTGGATTCCCATTTTCACACAGCTGCCCACATTGCTTGTCGGTATAAAAGCATAAATGTCTTGAGATTATTCATTGATCCGTACGAGTGCTTTCGGACGATTGGAGAAGGACGAGGAGTGTGTAAAGCAATGGTAATTGAGATCCACAAACGGCTACAGACACCCGACATACAAGGGAGATGTTTCAATCCGAAGAAAAAGAAGACCGAAGTCAAGAAGATTGATGTGAGAAAAAACTTGTCCTTGGCTGTAAGTATTTTGATTTTTTGTTGTTTTGAGTTTAGGGAACAGGGATAGCCCTTTGTGAACCTGGTTATCAGCGAGTTTTTTTGTCGTAAACTGCATACATGCAGTTCTTGGCGATTTCCGATATTATGCATGACCTCGGGTCAGAAATTTTTGGGTTTCTTGTAATTTCTCCGAATATTTATTTTAATTTTTCTTCAGGAGCCAGTTAAATTCCTAAAGAGGGCATATTCAAGTAGAACACGTGAAGAAATGGCCAAGACAATGATGAAAATGCGTCATGAAAACGAACGCCTTCGCTACGAATTAGACAAAATACGCTCTGAATTGAATAAAGAAAATCCGGCTGAGCCTGAGGAGAAGGACTGTTTTGTTGAAGTTCAGGTATGATTCTGGTTATTTTTTTGGATTTTGTTTTTAGATCTATTGGAGATAATTTTGGATATAAGTTTTTTCGAAGTAATCGGTATACCTATTTCCAGAAGAACGTAATAATTCAATTGCCGTCAATCGATCTGGACAAACTCGATGAAACAGAGCAAAAAGAGGTACTTTTTTATTTGATACCTAGTACAATATAAAAAGTTGTTAGATTCTATCCCAAATATTTCTCCGATTGTTTCGATTTGATTGTTCTGCTTTCAGCATGAGGATTCCTCGACATTCCCCTCGCACCGCATACAGGAAAGTGTTACTGAGCGGTTCAAAAACACAAGAATCGAGAAGATGCCGTCGGACTCCAAAATTTCTCGGCCTGAGTTCAATTCATCGGAATTGAGGTCCATTTACACTTTTTCGTCCTTATCGTCGCTTGAAAATTCAGATTTCTCAGCGTTTTCTGATCCATAGCGAGTTTTGACGAAATGTCACAAAAATTATTGATTTTTCTAAAAATTGCGGAATGTCGCAAAATTATCCAATCTTCATAGCTAGTGTTTGTCGTAGTCTAAAATCTTATATCCGTTGGTTTCTGTTTATTGGCTGATTATATTATCCATGGTCTTTTTTATACCTATATTTTTTTCATAGCGAATAGTCATGGTTTTCTGGTTGTACATTGAGCGTTTGTATCTCAATCTATATTATGTACGGTATGTTGTGGTATGTTATTGATTGCTACGAGTTGTGATACTGTTTTGGAGGAGTAAATTTTTATTGATTTTTTTGTCATTTTTGGAAAAATCTTTGTTTCATTTTCAATTTTACTTTTACCGACCGGTGGCGCGATGCTCGACCTCCCCGAATGGGCCGTTCGCGTGTTCGGGATGAGGTTCTTTACCCGATGCCTCAGTTGTCGAAGAGATTTACAGTCGAAATCACAGGTAAGTTGATGTTTTTTATTTTCTTTTTGTTTTTAGGAGAGACAGCTTAATTTTTTGATATTCAAACAAAAATTATGGTGGATTAAGTGGTAAAATACGGGCCAAGTCATTGGAGATAATTTTTTGAGGTCTTTCCCGCATAAATATCCGTATTTTAGACCTCCACTTCGTCGAAAATCCAGAGCAGTTCCTCCACCTCGCTAAACACGGCCGTCGATGATACGTTTATACGAATCGAACTTTTCACCGAGCTGAACGGGAAATTATGTATTCGAATACACAACGAGCATCCCGTGAACTGGCTGAGCGGGAGATTGGGTGGAAGGTCGAAGAGAATCCAATTTCATCCACATTTGTTCATTCTCCCGCCGAAACGGAGTAGTTCTGTAAGCGAAACATTGAATTTTGGGAAGAGAAAAGTGGTGTTCCCTTTGTGAATTTGATTAAAACTTTGAGCAAAGTCTCTGAAAAAATTCTCCTGCGATTTCAATCCCACTTTTCCAGTTCCACGTCACCATTTCCACCAAGCCCTATCAAGTGGAAGAGAAGCGAGTGCGCCCCGGAACCTTGGCCAGATTCATCTCCAAGGCCAATTATTCGTCGAAAGTGATACTGGTCTACTTTTGGCTGGGCAGCGAACCTCCCAACCGGAACGCCGAAACATGTTGGCGACAGCCTTTCCTCGTCCCACCCGATTTCCGAGAGCATATTGTCTTTAAACTCCCATTTATTGAATAAAATTGGAAAATATACAAATTTTAATGAGGATATTTGGACGTTTTGATTGATTTATTGTATTTGGAAGGCAAGGTTCAAATGCCAATGTAATTATTTTTATTGACATTAGCGGTTATTTAAAAGACGCACCAGGCACTGGTTGGGCCTCCGCAATTTTTGGCGGAGCGATATTTATATCCTTCAAAATCTCTTCGTTCTTTTCGCTTGGACTGCGGTAAATAAGCGAAGTTCCTTGCTCTGCGATCTGAAACAGAAGTTTTTTTAGCTACAATGCTTTTCAATTTAACCTCCAAACGGATCGGAACCGAATTTAATCTTGGGAATTTACCCTGTAGAGCCCTGTAAATTGGCTTTCCCCTCATTTTTTGAATTCGGTACTTTAGTATTTACCTGTTTGTTGAACTGCGCAAAGTAGTCGTATTTCCCGATTGTCACAGGCTCCGGTCGAACAATGAAAAACAAGACGACGAGAAAGCCCAGTGCGCACAATTCGAAAAGCGACAGAACACTCATCCCGAGCCATAAGCCCAATTGACCACCAACATCGGCGATCATGTTTGTCAACTGAAAATAAATACATAAATCAGGAACTATAGTTGTATCTTACCGTATACCCAACTGATTCAAGGTTGCTCTGATAACTGGACCGTTCCAAGTATATTTCCAACATAAGGGTGTTGGCTTTGTACCATTCAACGCACTCGGACTTGTTATTCCAGTTGGCCGTAATGTTGGCACATTCTGGAGGCTGAAAACGTTGTTTCAAATTGATGTGGGCGAAATATATACTTTACGGCGGCAGTGTTCGAAAGGCGACTATAAGGTCTTGGATTAAATTTTGGACACAAGAAGGGGGTAGGCTCTATTTCAAATTCCCCAAATTTTAGCTCATGCTTTGCAGGGGCAGCCGAGATATTCAACGACCTTTGCGGCCGAGAGAGTACGCAAAAGGCGGAGAGCGGTCAAAGCGAAAATTGTTTTTGAAATATCCCTGCCAATTTCAGGTCGAAAAAATCTATTTGCTAGGGAAAACCAACACAAAACGTGTTAAATATTTGCCCCATTTTTCGCGAACTCTCGGACTAAAAAATTTCGATCGCTTGTGAAACGCAAGCTACGAATCTTGCGTTTCGCTACACAAAAATTAAATCTAAATTTGCAAATTCGTTCCCAGTAATCATAAGAACTCAGCGTCGCAACATGAGCAGTTTCCTTGACCGCTAAACACATTGATTCCACTAAAAGAACATTCTCTTACCATATAAGTTGTTGCAGGCCATTTTGCTTGAGACATTGCGATTTGATAGAAGCTCTCGCTGCAAATAAAAAAAAAACCGTCAGGCTTTGCAAAATCCCCTCGGCTCTATGCGTAATTCTCTAACTTACTCACAACCAAACGGACAATTGCACTCGGTAATGCTGGTGTTGGACGATTCGTCGACTTCATTGATAATGGAATCGGCGCAGTCTACTGTAAACTTAGTTTTACACTAGTGAGCAACGCCTCAACTTACTGGCTTCATTGATATCAGGCATTTTATAGCAAGACGGAACCGATACATTCGAAGGGTAGTTGTACTGTGGATCGTAGCAGCCGCAGATCTTCATAATATTGTCCTGAAGGCAGCTGCGGAGACAGGCCTCAACCTAGAATGAGAGAGGGCCAATTAGCGGTCGAAAAAGGCTGCAGATCTCAGATCTGCAGCCTTTGCAGAAACAACCTAGCTTTTTTAGCCCATGGCGAGGACCTCATTCTTACCTCATATTGATTAGAGTAGTAGTTAGCGGCGCCATGACCATTCTTGGAGCAATCGTTGTAGGGATGGGGAAGTTTTACTCTTTCCATGTACCGTAAGCCCACTGACGAACATTTACCTGTTTGCGCAAAATATCCAAACGTATCTTGGAAGGGGGTTTCGTCCTGTAACCGTCATCTTTAATTTTTTACTAGGGGATCGAGCTTCTGATCTTTCCGAGCCAAGCCGGCCGGCTCATCAAGGTCGGCCCGCGCCAAGCCATTTCAAGAAAAATTTTGTAAGGGGCGACGGGCCCTGATTTTTTCATTTTTAGAGAAACTTTTGAGCCTCCAGCCTTGTACGCTTTTGAAAAAAATCCATGACTTATATCACAAAGCAAGCTGACTTACCGTTCCATGAGCATAAAATATTACGCCCGCAGTTTGAACCCAAGGAAGATACGCCTCCGTCGGCGATTTCAACGATATTCTCAGTCCATTATACGGTCCAGCTCGACTGGAAGCCCATGACATATTCGAATTTATCGTATGACAAAGTCCATTGTATGGGTCATAAAAACTTGTTACGTTTCCACTAAATTACCGTTAAATTCTCGGTTTTTACGCATTTACCTCAAATCACAATCCGCCTGATTATACTTGCAGTCAATCAGCATCTCCGACAACTTGTAGGAAAGGTCTATTCCGCTCTGAAATGTGGTATATTGGGAGAGTTTCTTGTGCTTACATCTTCTTCCAGACTTCTCAGCTCCTCGTACATTAATCTCGTCCATCTTGTCGCCCGCATACTCTCAGCCATTGAGAATGGTGATGTAAAGCCATAAGTTGCGTTTGTCTTTCCGGCATTGTAGGCGTCAACCTTGAAAACTAAATTTATTAATCATCGTATTTAACTTGGTTATTTTACTTATAAGTTATTTACCAATCCTTCCAGCGGTGTCCCTGCAATGTTCGTCGTCTTCCACGGGCTGCCATTACAAATGGTGACGACTGGGAAAGCTTGCTTTGAAATTATACTCTACAAAATTTCATAGTGAAATTTTATAAAAAATACAACATATACAATGCATTGTTTATGGACAAGTACAGTTACTTTTGAACCACGCCAGGTTACGCCGTAAATAGCACTATTCAAAAGTAGCTGTACAGGCCCTACGAAAATCAATCCAAAATTGATTATTTACCCTTTGAGTCATTGTCACTGGATAGCTTAAAAAATTGAGGATCGAATTCACAATAAGATATGCCATAATTCCGAACATTGCCAGTGTGACGAGAACCCAGAAAACTGCAATTGCAACCTTGTCGGCTTGCGCAACATGAGCGGCGCCATGAATCGAGGTCCACTGACAGAAATCGAACAACACATGATAGATGCTGTTCGCAGATTTGGCCCACTTCATATCGAAATTAGTGGCAAAATCTTGCAGACACAGTGAGAATGGTCCGTAGCATTGGAGAATGGAAGCGAAGATGGTAATTTTTGTTCAAGCTGTACGTGTAGTTCTTTGCAGAGAGCTTTCAAACGATTCTCCGTATCCTCAGATAAAAGGATTCTTTGGGTGGGATACGTGCCCTTTGTTTCTTTCGCATATTTGATGATTTCAACTATGAAGCACCTCCTCGCTTGTCCCCAGTTTGTTGCACCTTCTTGGAAGTGCCTTTTCAGTTTGCAAAATGAAACGGAAACGGTGTTTCACAAGTCTTTTCTGTTTGGTGTCGAAAGTAACAAGAAATTATTCGAAACGAACACTTGAGATAGTGATTGGCATAGCCAAAACCTCGAGTTATTAAAAGAAAAATTATGCTATTTTTGAACCGCAACAACTTGGAAAACGAAATTTCCTAAAAATTATTTTGACTATTGACAAGGGAAGTCGTTCAGATCGCAAATGAACTATGAAATGAGACCTGTGTGGTTTTATAGTCACATACTCTACTATATCGAATATAAAGGCATTTTTGCGTCTGGGCCCCCGCGGCCGAGAAAATCGACTATAAAGTTTCGCAAGAAGAGAGCGCCGAAAAAGTCCTCTCTCCGAAAGCAAACGCAAACAGCTGCCCAGTTGGCCGAGTGGAAAGAGCGCTCGTCTAACGAATCTTCTTTTGGGTCGGGGGCTGGGTTCGATTCCTTTCACCTGCAATGTAAAGCGTAAGACTACTGTGTACACTACAGTATGCGTAAAAAAAATTTTTTTTTGTGTTTTTCCAATTTTATGAAGATTTGTGCATTTTCTTGAGACAAAAACAAACAAATTTAGTCGACTTTTCTCCAGACTGTTAAATTTCAAAGGAGGTTATCTTGACAATAGGCCTCCTTCCTTCAAGACTCCAGTGGAGTATTGTTTCCCCCATGATGTCCACACAGCTTGTTCTGCTTCTAGTTGTGACATCTTGTCTTTTGTTTTGTGCTCGTACTGTAATCAAAAACTTTGTTTTCATCATTTTGTTGAATGTGTTCACGACTGTTGTTAAATGATAGTTAAAAAGTTAAATAAAAAAATTAGGAATTTTGTTTGTTTTTGTCTCAAGAAAAGGCACAAATCTACATAAAATTGGAAAAACACAAAAAAAATTTTTTTTTACGCATACTGTAGTGTACACAGTAGTCTTACCCTTTACATTGCAGGTGAAAGGAATCGAACCCAGCCCCCGACCCAAAAGAAGATTCGTTAGACGAGCGCTCTTTCCACTCGGCCAACTGGGCAGCTGTTTGGGTTTGCTTTCGGAGAGAGGACTTTTTCGGCGCTCTCTTCTTGCGAAACTTTATAGTCGATTTTCTCGGCCGCGGGGGCCCAGACGCAAAAATGCCTTTATATTCGATATAGTAGAGTATGTGACTATAAAACCACACAGGTCTCATTTCATAGTTCATTTGCGATCTGAACGACTTCCCTTGTGAGTCAACGACAACTGAAAAAAGTTATGATGACATTACATGTGCATACGGATAATATGTATGTGTGTTTTCCGACAAGCGAAGAACTTGTGAAGAGACGGTAAGCACTTGCCCTCTTGGAAAGAGAAGGGAGTGCAAAAAATGCAACCATCACCTCCAAGGAGGGCAGTTTTCTTGATTCTTTTCAAAAGGAAACGCTACTTTCGGTAAGAGAGAATGCAATAAGATGCAATTTATTCATTCTGGATGAGTTCGGATACACTTTCAGTCGTGTGAGCCTGTCCAGAGCTATACATCCTTTCACGGTTTTAAAAAACCTCTGCAGTTTCTGCAAAGTGCAAGCTAAAAAGCTTCGAATATCTTTTCGAAACTGCTAACCTGAACTATGTGTCATCTTACTGATAGAAGTTCCTTTTTGAGGTCAAATCCCATGGCCATTAAAATTTCCTCATACTTTTCCTGACCATCTGCCCCCTCATCTTTAAAAACTACAACTCAACAATTACACCGTTCCCCCTAACGCCTTCAAGGCCATTCAAAACCCGATTCGTATCCGTTTTGCAACGATTTTGTTGCAACGAACGGAAGGAGTTATTAATTTGGAGCGACTCAAGGTTGGCGCCAGTAAACCTTGTGTGGGAACGTGAGAAGGCCGGGGGTTCGTTGCGAAAATTTAAACCAGCCCCGCGGGCTTGATCAGTCTTAGAACAGAGGTTTATTTTTCTTACTTTGATTGCGGGGAGTTCGACGTTCACGGGAACGGTGTTTTCACGTTTTTTACAGGGTGTTTATTACGAATGCCGGCGTCGTAAACAAGAGTGGTTGATGACGCCTACGGTCATGCGAGCCAGACCTTTTACTTTTCCTACGTACAAGGTCGATTTTTGAAATTTTGTATTTTTATATTGTTTTTAGGGTAAAATGTTCGCTCGATACACACTTATTCTGGCGTTACTGGCCTACTCTGAAGCTCAATTACTTGTAATTTCTCCGGAACTCAAAGGTAATTTTAATTTCTGGCAAGCTTTCCAAAAATCCCCTTAATCCTGTTTTCTCAAAGTTTCCAACTTCCTCATAAACAGTTTACAATACTCTTTACACTGTTGGGAAAGTTGGAAAAGCCCGTTTTCTGATCAAAAGTCAACCGTTTAATTGCCGTTTAACTTCCAGCCCTTCTTCCAAAAGAGATGGTCGAGTTCGCGGACAGTCTGTCGAGTAAAGAGCGGGAGGTCGTGAAATCCGTGAACGACAAAAACGGCACCGCAACTTACATCAAAGACTTGAAGACCAAAGACGAAGAGCTGGCTAAGAAAGCGGCCGAAAGAATTGAGGCTTTCCAGAAGAAATTCAACAGAATCAGTGGGCCCGGACAAAAGTTTATTGAGAGTGTAAGTGGAGAGATACATGCGCGCTAAAAATTCATCAATTTCTGTCGAGAAAAAGGCACAAATGGTCTCAAAACTAAAGCAAATTTAATGACAAAAGGTAACGATGACAAGGGAAGTACCCCAAGTGTGGCGCTCAAATTTTCTTTTAATTTAGCACGCAAGCGAGGTGTAGGCCACCGATAAATTAGTGAAAGTCTTAGTTCGCGCTTTTCTGGGACGACCGAGATATTCAACCATTTTTGAGAGAGTACGCAAACCGCTGAGAGCGGTTACAGAGAAAAACTTTTTTGGCCGTAATTATGCCAGTTTTGTGCGAAGGACTATCTTTTATTGCAACATTACCCACAACCTTCTTAAAGCGTTTTCTTTTCAAAGCATACAGTTTTTTTATAGTTATATAAAATCATCAATTTATTCCGAATTGCCGCTCATTGAATCCTGAATTCCTCAAACAAAAAATTGTAACATTCCGGCGCGTTAGCATATCACAAAAAATCATTCTTCCCAAAAATATTCTTCATCCAGAATGCGCTATTATTACACATTACACTGAGACTGCACCAATATTTGTGATTGAGTTTGAACCCTGTTTTTATACGGAACAGGTGACAAACGATGAGCAGACCGTAAATAAACGATTTTACAATTTCCTTGCAGGTGATCTACGAAGTCGATGGAAAGGAGAACGTCGATGAGACCGAACTCAAAAAGATTGCCGCTTCGTTGACCGAAAAATGGGATATCTTGCCGGCGGATGTTAAGAAAGAAATTCGAAAAACCTTCTCTCACATTGCCCGGACTTTGGAGAGCAAGTTTTAAAATTTTCATAACCGTTTTTTTAAAACTTTCAGGCAAGAAATTCCGACGGTATGCAGCGTAACCGGACAAAACAAAAGGAATACGAACACAAGTGCCAATTTCACGACGGTCTAATCTTAGCCATGTTTAATTTGATGATTTATAAATAAAGAATTTTTATGTAACCTGGAAAATTTTTAATTCGGGACTTAGAAAACAGACTTGTTTCGAAAAAAAAACAAAAAAAGAGAGAATTTTGAAGTTCCATTTTTCATTTTCAATTTGTCCAAAATCCAAGGTTTCTCATAGTTTATCCAAATTCATCGCCCGCACGGTCGAATCCCGATGATTACGAGCAAAACCCCGCGAAATGAAGTCGGAAACAACCTTCTGGAACCTCATCCTGAACCCAAACCAAACAAAGCGTTGGAGCAGTTTCAGCGGCTCACTTCTAGGTTGATTCGACGGGATCAGGTAAGAGTAACATTGCGAATATTGGGAAAGAGTTCAGGCGAAGCAAAATTTGGTATCAAAACGTATCGGATGGGACAGAAAACATTGATTTGTTGTTTTAAAAGAGCCTTTCTACCTGTCGAAATGTCTTTTGATACAAAAATTGTCGCATTCTGGTCTCTTTTCCACATCTTTTGTAAGCTAAAACCGGTTAAGAAGTGTTTACAACTTGCTCCTTGTTCACTAAAAGTTTCAATTTTCAGAATGCCTTTCAACCGTTGAAAGATCACCCAATCTCCCCAGCAGAAAAGACTTCGCCTCCCAAGAAGCTCGGAGGAATCTGCGTCCTCCGCCGCGACGGGAAGTTCCAAATCTCCAGAAAGTACTACACTAAAGCGTCAAAGGGAAGGTTGACTTTTTACAAGTGCCGGAATGGGTCGACCGAGAAGGACACGCTGACTCCAGAATATAATATCAATTTGGCGAAGGTAAGAGCGGGTTTCGGCTGTTTTGGCCTCAGAGTTTGATGGGAACCCCCAAAATCTAACATAAATTATCCTACAACTTCAGATCAGCGAGATTCTGTACAACGATGACGCGAAGAAGCTAGTTTTGTGTTTACCCCGAGGCCAATATCATCTTCAACCAATTGCTAAAGAAAAATATGAAAAATGGAAGATTGCTCTTCAACAACACCGAGCATTTGGCAAAGCAGAGAAGGAAAAGTAAGCAACGACTGATTTTTATCCAAAAAATGTATTTTTTTCAAAAAATCCTATTTTAGCCGAAGTACTGGACAAAACAAGGCTCAAGAATCGACCCAGACTGCGAAGTCGAACTCAATCTCTCTAAAACAATCAGAAAAAGAGCTTCAAAATCTTCTCCAAGACCTCAACGAAAGTTTCAAACTCAGTCGGAAGAACAACAGTTTTGATGACTTTGAAGAAAAGTAAGTGGAAATACCTCCGATTATATAATTTTAAGGCTCGTCAAGACAATGACAAACTTTAGTCAGTTTGTCGAGCAGACCTATGAGTTTCAACTGAAGTCAACCGAGCTGCTTACTGTCATCGAAAAACAGGCCAAGGAATGTCGAGAAATGATTTTAATTTTGCGAAGTGGACAAAAATATAGCGATGGGGAGGAATGGGACGTGACAACTGGTAAGGAATTTTATCTTTAAAGCTACTATTTCAGTTTTTATCTACATAAAATGACCTCTCCGCAAAAAATAGCCAACAACTTCTAAGCTAAGCTTTATCTCTTTTCTAGCCATCTCAGCAACCCAGTCATTCAGCGAATTGCCAGTACAAGCCACTCCACCCAAAACTCCAAAAGAACGAGTCGTGGTAAAGCCTCTGCCAAGCATTCGTAAGGGATTACTGTAATTTGTTGACTAAAGTAATGTAGACTCGAGACAGATCCACGTTATGTCTGACAAATGAAAATAAGTGTTTATGCGGACAAAGAGAGCAATCCATAGCTGTATCATTTCAGTTGAAGTCCGAGTACATCCAGCATTCCAACCTCTCCAAAATCCCCGAAAAGCTTTGCCTGCGGAACCAATTTTTGGTGGTTCAATTCCACTCTCAGCAATTTTTCGTGCCGCCCTCCCAGTCCATGCCTTTGAACCTCTTGGAGATCTACAGGTACCCTCAAAGTATAAAAATTTTCACTGTTTTGCCTTGATCTACCTACTACAATATAATTTTAGGTTTTGGTTGAGTCGATGAGTTATGCTGGTCAATGCCTGAACAAAATCCATAGAATCAAAGACCCAGTGGATAGAATGTGCATGGTCGCGGCCATGGCAGTGAGCTTCTCTTGTATTACTTGCCGAAAAAATCGACGGCCCTTTGGTGCCGCGTTGGGAGAAACCTTCGATTTCATTAGCCCCGATGGATGGAAAGCGCATGCAGAGCAGGTAATTTTTTTATTTCTGGCTTCTAGAAAGTGCTAACTGCGTGAAACACGCAAACTGTAGGTCTATAATCAAACTTCGGCTATGCACGCTCAAGGAGAAGGTTGGGAGCTCTACAAAACGATTCAACTCGCGTTTTTCCCAACTTTAACTGGATCACTGCGAATTGTCCCGCAAAATCCCATCAAGCTGCGGGTTTTTGGGAGTGATGAATTCGCGTGGAACCCGGTAAGAAACTGATTTGACCACCTTTCTCCATTTTCATGGAAATGGATGAAAGTTTACAAAATATTACCAGTAAAAGTTTGCGATAACTCCAGATTCCAATCATCTGCCATAATGCACGTGCCGAAGCCGACAAAAGAGTGGTTAAAACTGCTGGCGACATCTTGATAACTTCCACTTCTGGAGTTCAATGTAAAATGACCTTTTCCGAGGAGAAAAATGCAATTCGAGGAGAAGTAATTCATAATGGAAAAGTTGTCTACAAACTGGTCGGATACGCAGATAAAGGTCTTAATCGGTAGGTAAAACACAAATAGTGTGATCTAAAGGTTTTTTACAAATCCAAAGTCAGCAATTACAAGTTGCAGGTTAGCCCCTGGAAAGCCTCAAGAGCGTCTCCTCGAAGTCAAGAAGCCCGACAAAGACATTTACAAGTTCTATCACATGAATCCGCTCTCAATTACATTTAATCAGCTAGATGATCAAATCCGTCCGTACATCCCGAAAACCGACACTAGACTCAGGGAAGACATCAGACTCATGGAGCAGGGTCATTTCGACCTTGTCGAGAACTCCACTAAGAAGATTGATGAGGTAAATTTTGTAATACCATCAAACCATAGACATTTTATCTAATTTTACACAAAAATCGAGTCATTTTTGATTTGCAGACCCATAATTACCGTGCTGCGAATCATCGAGCGCTCTGGTTTGAGCCTCTGACTGACCTAGCAACAGGAAAGACTTTGTGGTACACGAACGGCCGATATTGGCAGGCAAAAAGCAAAAAGTTTGAGGATTGGTACAGCAAGAGTTATATTATCCCGCTGAAGCCGGATAGCTGAGCAAATTTAAGCCTACGTCATGCAGATTTACTTGGAATAAAGATTTTGTCTTTGTTTCTTTGTCATTTCTTCTCCATCGACTGCTCACTTGAGTCCCACAACGAAAACATGGTTGACCCTGACGTTTGACGTTTTGCCAAAACAACATTTCGTTAGCGCGGATTTCGCAAATCCGCTGTTGCGTACCTCAATGTGAAATGCTTGATAACCCAAATAATCGAAACAAAATACCAATGAACTTCGACGATTCTGATTTGGATGAAGGAATTTTTATCAATACACCTTCTGGAGGTATGAGGCTGTTTTTTACCTTTCTGATGCCCTTTGATGGAGCTTCTGTTTATTTACCGCTGAGAATACGTAAATTTGTCGTAATCGGAACATTTAGTCTGCTATAACATTGTTTTAGACAGCGATTCAAACAATGACTTCTTTTCGAATTCTCCACCTCTTGATCCAGCTATGGCAATGCCCTATCCTCCTTTCGATGGTTCGAGTAGGTTTTTATTCCATGCCCTTGTTCGGTTTTAGGTAATATTGCATCAAAGTTAATATAAGGTCGTCATTTGATTGATCTTGGCGAATCTCGTCTTTGTTTTTTATTTGGGTTTAAAAGATGGTTGTCTAGAATCCAGGCATCGGTAATTCGTCATAGTCAAAAATCGACTTATGTTTGATCTATTTCAAATTTATTACCTAAAATCTTAATTTTAGGCACGCCGAACGAGTACAGTCGCGGCAATCACTTTCCACAGTCTCAGAAGCGCAAGTTCGATGTACCAGGCTTAGAAGGGCTTTCGGATCGTGAAATCCAACAATTTAATGCGGCGTTTAACGCGGTGTTATTTCCACAGCCAGTCCTCGCTGCCGCCCATCAAATGTTCCATTCTATCAGTGACGATATGAAAAAGAAGGGCAGAAGCAAGTCGACTCCTCCCGAATTCCGCGATTATCCGCCGGATCCCAACAGTTTTGAGGCCAAACGTGCTGCAATGTTCTCTCCCGAGCACAATCCATTCATGGTTGGTGGAGGTGATACCTATTATCCGGCAGGTCAAGTTCTCTACTGTCATCCGGGAATGGAGTACCTTCAGATGCAAATGGCCATGGCTTCTCGTTTTCAGGTAGGCGTTTCGAGTGTTTTTTTTTTTTTTTTTGATTTTTAGGGATTGAACGGTGAATTCTGACGAAGAGAAACGTTTAATTAGGCTTAAAGTTCTAATTCTAGGCTCAAGTTCCGTTCCTTTATGGCGCTGCTCGTCCTCCACCTTCTCAACACTCTACCAAATGTTATGTAAACTCTCATGAGGATACTCCTGTATTCTCGGCCGCTGCTTTGGGCGAAGTTCAGGCCAGCCGACCTCGACCCAGAACTCGTCCAATTCGAGGAAGACCAATCGCAGTTTCCACCAGAGAATCTACCAGATCCCCCTCGTTGGATGGGGAAATTCCATATTATATTCCAAGACATGCCCGGACCTCACCTCAAAGCGCGCAGGAAATGTCTGTTGATGGGACCAAGTCTCAGTCCAGGTCGACTCCGACACTCGGAAATGGAACTCCATATCAAAGTAATTCTCAAGGACATTCCAGTGATCAAGGAAAAGATAATCGAAATGGACCCAAAGAGAAAGCCCAGATCCCGGAAATCCCAATCCATGAGGAGAAACAGCCTTCTGGGTCCACGTATAAGACTCCTGATGAAGACATGGTCTATACTTGCCTTGGTGTCCCACTTGATGATGACGATGAGGTGGAGAAAGAGGAGAAACCGTACATTCCACCGCCATTGATCGACCCGGAGACCGGATTGATGGGAGAGGAATTGGATCGAAAAAGACGTCAGGATTATCAACGGGAAGTGGCCATTAGAAGAAATTCGTTGAAAAATGAGAAGTGGAAGGACGAAGATGAACAGTCGGTAAAAGATCTGTTCAGAAGACTGAAGGTCAATGATCCACAAGGAGAACCGATCGTTCGGACCTATTTGTGGGGTCGAAATCAAGGAAATGTTGTAAAGGTAAGGCTTTGATGGAAATAGACATGGCTCGTCGGCCGGCCCGGGCCGAAAATCTCGGCCCGGCCCGTCGGCCTGAAGGGTTCCGGCCCGGCCCGTTTCAAATTTTCCGTCGGCCCGGCCCGTTTTAAATTTGCTTCGGCCCGGCCTGGGCCGGCCCATTGAAACGAAAGTCTCCCCAATTCTAACTCCTTATGTCCAAATTTTTTTCTATCATCATGTAAATGGATATATACTGTGTTCCATAGCTATCTAAAAACAAAAATACCTTTAAAAAAACCAATTGTGCCTTGACATTGCGTTTATTTTCATTATCAAACCCAATTTTTGCTCCGAGATTCTGGATTTTAAATACTCCGGGCCGGGCCGGGCCGAAACGCCGGCCCGGCCGACGGGCCGGAGATGGTCCGGCCGGCCCGGCCGATCTGAAATCGGGCTGACGGGCCGAAATTTCGGCCCGGCCCACGGCCCAGGCCGGCCCGGCCCGGGAGCCATGTCTAGATGGAAAGGATTCGGGTCGATTGCACAGGGCAGTCAAAAACTTTGGAATTCATTGCACGGTGCAGAGAAAAAAGTGGGTCTGAACTCGCAGTGCGGGCGAAAAAAAATTTGAGTTGACTACACAGTGCGGTGAAGGAACTGTTTTTGAGCCTCCATTGGGCAAAAATAGCAGTAACTTCCGATTGCACTGTGCAAAAATTTTAGTCAATTTCGAGACAGCACAGTGCGATTTGATATTTTTTGATTGCACTGTGCGGAACGAAAAACCTTGTAATTATTTTGTGAGAGCGTAAATCTCCTTTTCAGTGGGTCCAAGCATTCCTGAACAGAAATCGCGGCCATGTTTATATTCCACATAAGTTCATCGTTCTCAATGTTTGGAATCTAGATCGCCCGGAGGACAAGTTGTGGCGCGCAGAAGTGTACAACAAGTAAGGGGGTTGGGAAGGGGTAATTTGAGTATTTTGATCATTCATTCAATAATTGTTTCCCGTTTTCAGGCACATTTTATTCCACGGCGTCAACAAGAACAATGTCTACACCTATTTGAAGGAAGGATTCAGCGCCAAAGAAGCATGGTCCTCGGTGAGTTGGTTTTGATTTTTCTTTTGGCTTTTAGGAGATTTGAGAAGGAACTGAATAGACGTCCAATTCTCGTTTTGTTTCAGAACAAGGCTGTTTTCCAAAACGCAATCTACTTCCACGACTGCAGCACAAAAGCCGCCAACTTCACCTTCCCGGACGCCTATCGTTGGGAGAGGAAGGCGGACCGGCAACTCTGCAAACCGATGAATAAAGAGATTATTTACATCCTCATTTGCCATGTGGCTTTGGGCGCTCAGATCAACTCCGAACAAGCGATCAAATCGAAGTCTATGCTCAAGTCAATGTGGGATAATTATGATTCTTTGCGACTGGAAGGACTCTGCAGATGCACTGGAGTTATGAAGTAAGTGAGCTGAGGGATGATTTGGAGCTTTGATTTTAGAATTGAGGGAGGATCAGTGGAAATCCCTATGGGACCATTTACTCAGCTCCCGGCTCAGGAGGAACTCGACCGCGCTGTGAAAACGCACAGCCTTTTTGACGACTATTGCATCCAGAATCCGCATTTGGCCAGAATCAGCTACCTCGTCGAGGTCCAATACATCGAGGAGCGTCCTCAGTTCCAACTCGAATAATTTTGCCTTTTTTTAGGTTCTGATGTACTTATTTTTCCTTTGAACTTGTTCATCTTATTTTTGTTTTGGTTTCTTTTGTTAGGAATAAATTGATTTTTGGTATTTTGTAAAGTTTAAATCGTCCGAGAAGATTAAAAGTTCTAAATGAATACTTAATACGGTTGGTACCAGATTGTTATTAATTTTGAAGATCTTATCTTTTTATCCTATTTTTTTCATCTTTTGAACACAAAACAATGTTAAATCGCTGCAAAACCCGCAAAAACAACAACAAAAAACGTTTGGAATAACATTACTCGCTTGAAACAATGCGTGTCCTTGGAATAATTAGGGTACCCCTCCCGAAACCCTCCAAAAAAAAGTTAATGCTCTTGAGGGAGCGGGGAATTAATTGGATCAGCGATTATCCCACTGTTATTTTTTCCGTTGTTTTCGCCGAGTTTCATGAGGTTTGGGGGCGATCCACTCGCCAAGAGGGGAGGGCTTGTTTATCTTCGGAGGTGTTGAACTTTTGAGGTGAGGCGGTGCCGCGGTGTGGTAATTGATTAGTGAGCGGATTTTTGAAAGTCGTTTTGGAGGGGAGTGGAACAAGAATTTACAGCGGTAAATTCTTGTTATTTTTGCGTGGATGTAGTTGAGATCAAGACATTGGATCTTTCCAGGTTTTTGTCCTGCTTTCGTTGTAAAAGTGCTCTGCGGTTTGAACTCTGAACAAAGAATTGCAAGGAAACAAAATTTTTTGTTTGTTATATAAGGGTTTCACTGTACGAAAGTTCATTTTTTGGCTGAAAGTTGAATCTAGAGATCGCTGAATTGTTGTTTTAGGTTCCATTCGTTGTATGGAGGTTTTTATTATACTTATTTTATAGGGTTACAACTCCTTGGTAATTTTTGCCAATTTTTGTGTGATTTAGTATAAAAAATTTGCAAGTGTTTCTATGGAATATGTAGACCATGCACGGTAAATTTGAAGGTAGTCCGCATTTGAAATTTCATTCCAAACACGTTTTTCCCTGATGAGATTCTGTAGTAAGGTGCGTAACTAATATTACCATCTTAATTTAGCTACTGACTCATCAGTTTTTATTGTCCTTCCGCCTCCTAATTACCTTAACTTACCTTCCTTTGCTACCTATTACATTACCTTGTAATCAGGCTTATGCCCGCTGTTACTTTCCCCGCTTTCTAATAGCAAATCCAAGGTAATCTCCTTATTTGGAGATTACTTTCCAAGCGGATTTAATTTGCATTTCCCCCCAAAAGCACTTGATTCTTTGCGAGCGTCACGCCAGGTAACTGTATCGCCGGGTAATTTTACAGTTAACAGAAGCAGAAACAGCGGGACACAACCGGGAGGATCGTTGGTTGAGAAACTCCTCTTTATTCAGCCGTATTGTGCGCGATTGAATAACTGCCGCAGGGGCAAAAGGTTTAAGAGAGGGGAGGCGAATTCCTTGACAGTAACGAAAAAGTTATTCGCTTTGACAGTATTGCGCAAAGCTCCCCACGATTTAGACCGGATTTTTGTTGCGTTTCGGTTTCAGCGTGAGCGGGTTTCGAAAGTTGCAGGAGATTTACAGTAAAGAAGGTATTGATGGATCATGAAGTTGGGGCTTTTGAATTCAAACTGACAAGGGAAGTGTTTGATGTTTGATGCTCCGATTTTCTTTAAATTTTGTACAGACGTAGGGCATCAAAGGGTAACGTATTGATGCCTGCAAGTTTTAGCTTGCGCTTTGCGGGCGCAGCCAAGATACTAGTCCGTTCGTAAAGTCGCTGGAATGATTTCGGCGACGTGCACTGTGCAAGAAAACTCAGGGTGCTGGCGACAGCCCAAAAAAGCCTATTGCACTGTGCAAAAAGCCAAAAATTGCACAGTGCAAAGTGAACTTTCGGTTTCGCGGAGTGCATGTCGCCGAAAACATTCCAGCGACTTTACGAACGGACTAGTATTATGCGAATTTTGCGGCCGAGAGAAAACGTCAAAGGAGAAGCGCGGTCAGAGAAAAGTGATAAGCACAATTGCTGATTTTCTTAAAATTTTGCGGGTCTCTAAAAATAGGTGAAACATCGAGTTAAAAAATCTCGAATATGCCTGGCAATCGACCATCATTAATCATTAATTTCTACTTTTTTATAATCTTATGGCGGCTTTTTGGTAGGCTCCAAATTTATAAAAAGCCCATGTTTTTTTTGTAACGAAAAGTCTTCACAATCACAAATAAATAAACCTCTGTAAACCGAACCGTAACCGAAAAAACGATTCGTTACGGAGGAGTTTTGTTGCATGTAAATTCAGTGCATCCTAAAATTGACTCTTGGAACATCAGAAATAGTCGTTATCAGAGGCGTTCATAACGAACTGTTATTTCTGATGTTCCAAGAGTCAATTTTAGGATGCATCGAATTTCCATACAACAAAACTCTTCCGTAACGAATCATTTTTTCGGTTGCGGTTCGTTTTACAGAGGTGTCTTTATATGTGATTGCCAAGACTTTTCGTTGCAGTAACCCTTTCATGACTCTCTTTGCGTCATCTTTCCTCAGATTTTCTATTCTTTTCTTTAGCCTTCAAATTTTAACGGCAAACCTAATCCAATTTCCATCAAAGTTGACTCAAGTTTACGGATATAAAAAGAGCCTTCTGTATTTACAATTGAGCATTTATGACGCAGTTATCCTTTTCTTTTCATGACAATAAAGCGTTTCGTCATAAAAAAAAACCCCGAGAAGCATTTTTATGACGAGTTTTTACGACATTATTGTTGTCGTATTCACATTTATACCACTGTTTGTTTATTATTTTGTTCAGAAAAAAGTTGTTATTCAAGGTGAAAACGCATTTTTTGTAAAACATAAAAGTATTTTGGTATGTCTTGAGAGTGCTTGTTTTGTCATTTTGCGTTCTGGGTTCATTAGTTTTATCGTATTTTACACCTCAATTTTTGATTTCTAAAATTTCCGAAATCTGGAAGCCGGCTCCCTTCGTTCGTTTTCAACTTCAAATTCGCTTTATTCAGAACAATAATCGGCTCGACGACATCCTGAATCAAAAAAAAGCGAAAAGTGGAGAGGGCTCTTCGCCGGCGATTATTTTGGCGCTAAACCGGCAATTTTATGCTCACCGAAATTAACTGGTAAATTCAATTTTTCTTTCTGCAGCGGTAAGGCGTTGTAGAATCGGAGGGAAGAAAATTTCTTGGCTTTTACGACACAATGAATCGTGTGTGCCAAAAAAATTATTTTTTGCACAAAGGTTTTGTTGTGAAGAGGTTCGTTTTGACCATAAATTGACTCTTGCAGTCCTGAGAATTGTTCGTTATAGACAGGTTTTATTGCATGGGGGTTGATAGGACTTCACTGTCCTATTTTTAGCGTGGCAAAGTGTAAATTCAAAAGTTTACTCATGCTATGGGGGCACGCCGAAATATTCAACGATGTTTTCAGACAAGAGACTGTTGAAAGCGAGGAGAGTCAGTAGAAAGTTCTCTATTCATCAATATCCCACACCAAAAAAATTTTTTTGCCCAACTTTAGAGCAAAGAAACCTTGATAGTTTTTATCGAGGGCGGGCTACAAATCTTGTATGTGTTTTGGAAAAGTTTAGCCCCATATAAGGAGCTTTTCAATAAAAATTTTTTGTTCCTGGCACCTGGGTCGAGATATTTATGGCCCTAATTTTTCGTATCTAAAGATCTTTCCGGCTATAAATCTATAATTAGCCGTTTTCTCCTCCCATTCTACCTTACCCTTGAATTCCCATGCCCCTCTTGAAGGTTCGATCAAAGGCCACAAAAAACGAAATAAAGGATCATTTCCGCTAATCCCCACTAATAAATGGCTCTCCTTTCGATTGTGGCTGACCACCGTTTGGCCTTGAATCGCTTTCATTACATTATTCTTGCCATTTCCACGACCTTTGTATTCAGGAAATTTCTTCCCAAAATTTGAGGGAAATGTCACTTAAAAAGCAAAAAATGGTTTCATTCGGAGGTATTACTAATAAATTTTTAGGATGTTTTCAAAAGTCTGATTTTAGAGCTTAACCTTCTTATCAGTTGCTCTTTTAATATTTTCTCTAATCAAGATTTATCGATGGAAAAAAATTTTTTCTGTACTGTAAATGGCAACAAAATTATTGAGCGAAGTTTTTAAACTTCTTTAACGGATAATCTTCTTGCTCCTTTAAATTCGTTTTGCTGCATAACTGTATCTTTTGAAGGCCATTTTGAATTTTTTCCCGCGCAAGTTTGCAAATTTTGATGACCTTGAAGTGTGTCAAAAGGATAAATTTATTGTTTTTCTCCGGTGGGCTCATTTTTTATTGGTGAGGTTTTGGCAGATCGTTATCAGCGCACGCCAAATTATTGCCGTCAAAAAATGGTTTTGCGAGCTGCGCCCATCCTTACAAATATTTCGGCAACCATTGTATACGATGCTTATTAAAACCCACTCATTTCCAAAAAGCGTAAAATTAACAACGAAATAAAAGCAGAAGAACAACTGATGTGTTAAGATACAACATTAATATCTTCTTCATCGTCGGTTGGAATCAATTCAAAGGTGAACAGGCTTTTCAGGTTTTCCTTTGTAATTTCTTGGATTTTTTCCCTGAGGCTCTGGCGGTGGCTGCCAGTTCTTCTCGCCGTCGGTGCCTGTAGTTAAAATTTCTGTTGCTGACGTCTCCGAGCACATTCTGAAACCATAAAGCGAACTAAAATTGAATTTTTCCAAAAAAATCCCCGCTGGGCACAAAATTAAATCGAAATTTTCTCAAAATTTAATGTTCCGATTTCGAAAATTTTAACGGATTATGAAAGCCCATACTTCAAAGTATAATATATCCTAAAATGAAGAAGATCTAAGGCAAAAAAACTACCAATTCCAACTAAACATCAAACTTTTCGTCATTCTGAGATACTGTAATATCCGAAATTTCTTCGTTATCTTTCTGGCTAAGCCTGTGGTCTTGTGTTTGGGATTGCAATAATCTACTCGCA